AAATTCAAAAATGAAAAGACTTGTGGGACAACCTAATAGATCCCATTGCCTTCCGTCAGTGCACCCTAAGGCAAAGGTACAGCTTTCTCTGCTCGCGATAGCTTTAGCACACGCACAAATCCAAAAGGAATCCATTCACTATCGCGTTCAGGTGCTTGAACTATTCAAAATCCAGTATGCAAACTTTCTAACCGCTTGGTTCATGAAAAAGCATTCAATACAGAACACTGCCTGCGGTTGCTTTAGGCACGCTGAATAACGTGAAACAACCGGTGCTCCCGGTCTCAGTTCTAGAGCGCGTGTATCGCTAGCCGCGATTGCAACGAATACGCGCCTAAGTTTTCAAGAGTGATTTTTTGTTGCAGGGCCGAGGATAGCATACCCGGACAGAAAAACTATGTTTTGGGCATTGCATCCGTTGCGTACGGAATTATTGCGGAGGTCAAAACATTCATGTTCAACAAAGTCCCAGCTGTCAGTGACATTTTTTAAGATTATTTATGTGTTAGACTTCACTGTGATGGTGAAAAAACAGCATCGGCGCCTATCATGTTACAAAATTATGATAGTATTAGGTTTGTTCACATTCAATTTGCACTCATTCCCTGAAAGCAAAACGGCTTGTAGGATTGTACGACATGGCTGCTCTATCACTCAACTCATTATTGACTGGATATTTTTGCTTTACTGGCGGAAATTACTGTAACAGCCCCACGTTCATGTTTGTTGCTGGGGCTCTTGCTCTTGGTGAGTAACTGATTTGGGAGACAGCGGTTCAATGAAGAACATAAAGTCTAATGGATTCGGAGCAGTCAGTGGCATAAATTTTCTTGATCCGAATATTATAAAAAAGCTTCCAAGTAATTATCAAAAGTTTTATTTTAATGTTGCTACAGGCTCTAGTGCCTATAATACTCACCCACTGTTCAGGATTATGGTGTGGAGCATGTATGTTTTGCTTTGTTTTGGGCATAAATCGTCTTCTGGATTTATGGAATAAAACATTATTGCAAATGGCAAGTTTTCTACAAGGAATTTGAAGTCAGAGTGCAGCATGCCCACTTAAACAAGTTCACTCTCTGACTTTTGCAAAAAATGGTTACATAGCGGACCAGATTTCAACAAAAATATTGCGCACTTTTCTGCAGATACTGATAATTCTCCTATTTTAGGTTTTCACAGATAATAGAATTTATGTGGTGCTGTTGCTTCCTGTACTATACAGCTTGTATTTTGCCTTCTTCACACCTCCACTCCTTTTCAATTCCGATAGGTCGGCGTGGTTTTTCTTTACATTCGCCCGAAACAAAACAGATGTCGCTGAACATGTAAGTTCTAATTAATGCAAAATATATTAATGTCACTTGAACAGATAAAATCTTTTACGAGAATCATCACCACACCGTAAACAATGAAAAATGATTGGTTGTACAAATAAGCCATCGGGTTTGCAAGTGTTTTACAATAAGAAAATTAGTTTTAGTACAGTTTGTATTACTTGCAGTTCAACTGACGCAGAACAAAAACTCATCGGTTGACTTCATCAACATTATCAATATTTTTACATCAATATTATCAGATATTTTGCTACCAAAGACGCTTAAGTGACGCTTACAGTATCTAAATTATCCTCATACGGCAAACAACTTATTCATTGTTGTGCTTACTTGTCTGCTATACGTACAGTACTCTCGAGTTCTTCTGCGCTACTACAGAGTAGAAAACGGTCTAACATGGACACAGAAATCGGTTTGGACACCTGCTGATGCTGAAATCTTGAAGGATGATATTAGATCTTTAGTTTTTTCTTCAATGCTTTTTTATCTGTGCGGCATACCTCACAGCTGCACTAATTTATGTCTACATGCAATTCTTTTATACGCCTGAGTGCTTCGTTATTATCGGTCACGTCTGCTGGCAACTCGGACACGGTAAGCCCTTTCGAGAATGTTGATTCTTACTGGAATGTGTCTGCACAGCTCGATGCGAATTTACACATGCTCCGCTCGACATATTGGGTTGTTTTAAAAGTTCTACCC